TGTGTGTGTGTGTGTGTGTGTGTGTGTGTGTGTGTGTGTGTGTGTGTTTGTGTGTATGTGTGTGTGTGTTAACCTGAGTGTTAAATGTCTAAGTATTGGAGGAGGTGTGTGTGTGTGTGTGTGTGTGTGTGTGTGTGTGTGTGTGTGTGTAGGCCCAAAGTTGATGTTGGAGGTTTTTTTCTTCAGTTGTTAGTGGCTGGCTCAGGGTCTCTTGCAGAGCTCACGGGTTCTAGCTCACTGATTCCAAACTTGCTTCAGGGATTCACTGACTCTGCCTCCCAAGTGCTGAGACGTAGGTGGCCACCACACGCAATGTTCCAGCTTCTTTTTGTACGTTCCAGGAATCCGAACTCCAGGCCTCACAGTTTCAGTGCAAGTGTTTTACCCACTTAACAGGGGCCTTCTCCCCGGCCCCTGTTAAGATTATTTTGTATTTTGGAATGCTCCGTTTTGTTTTTGAGACAGGATGTCACTGTGTAGCTGTACCTTAAACTGGACCATGTTTAAACCATGGTGGCATCAGAACTCAAGAGATCCGCCTGCCTCTGTCTCCCACCTCTTGTATTAAAGATGTGTGTCAGCACACCTAGCTAATGTCTGTTTGAGTTGTTTGTTATGTCTGAGAAAGGCTCTCCCTAAGTAACTGAACGTCTGGAGTTCACTGTGATGCACCTTGACCTCAAACTCATTGTAACCCTTCCTAATGAGTGCTCGTCACCACCACACCTGGCTCCAGTGTCTGGGCTCGCTTTTGTTTTCCTTCAGTTTGTTCAGATGGGGTCTCGTGCAGCCCAGGCTGTCGGCCCAGGCTGTCGTAGAGCTCACTGTGTGTCCAAGGGTGATCTTGAACTTTTTATCCCCATGCCTCTATCTCCCCACTGCTTGGATTACAGGCATGGACCACCATGCCATTTTTAGGATGCTTGGTATCAAACCCAGGGCTTTCAACTGAGTTCCATCCCCCTAATGCTTGTTTTCTAAAGGAAGTTAACTAACTTTCCCCAAAGGAAGACTGTTGTTTTGTTGCCGATACCACAGAATGAGACTACTTTAAGTTTGGGGCTGAAATGACACACTCCTAACTAGAGGAAAAGGAGAAAAGCTCATCTAGAGATGGAACATAGCTAAGTGGCAAAACTGCATTAAATTGAAAAGTTTTTTTAGTATATTCTAATTTTGATTGACTTCTGTATATATTATGGGCAGCGTGTGGGTGCACACGTGCCAGAGCGTGTGTGTGTGTGGAGAAACAGAGAACAACTCAGTAGACATCAGCTCTCTTCTTCCCTTTTTGATTTTTGAGATAGGGTCTCTTTAATAACCTTGATTGTCCCAGAACTCATTTTGTAGAGCAGGCTGGCCTCAAACTCACAGAAATTCTCCTGCCTCTGCCTCCCATTGGATTAAAGGCTTGTGCCGTATATGTGTGTGTGTGTGTGTGTGTATACATTAGTATTAGGGTGTCAGATTCCCTGAAACTAGAGTTACAGAGAGTTGTGAGCTGTCATGTGGGTGCTGGGATTTGAACCCGGGTCCTCTGGACAAGCAGTCAATACTCTTAACCAGTGAGCCAGCTCTCCAACTGTCTCCTTCCTTTTGGTGATCAGACTTAGATCACCCAAGTTTCGTAGCAGGTGACTTTGCTCTCTGAGCCACCCTGAAAACTTATTTTTGAAGCGTGATCAGTGGCTGTTGACAGCAGGAGATAGACTGTAGGCCTTGACGAAATACATTCAACATAGCATACTTGCATTTTTTTAAATATTAATTTGGAGCCTGGCGTGGTGTCACAAGCCTTTAATCCCAGCACACAGGAGGCAGAGGCAGACAGATCTCAAGAGATCAAGGCCAGCCTTGTCTATAGAGTGAGTTCCAGGACAGCCAGGGCTACACAGAGAAACCTTGTCTGGGGGTGGGCAACACACACACACACATATGTGTGTACATAATATATGACTTTCTTTGACATATTTCAAATTAAAAACCGAAATACAGTTTTTAAGAACAGCATATTGTCTGATGTATTTTGTGTTACAGGCAGTGAGGTCACTCAAGGAAACAATTGAAGACTGTTGGGACCAGGATGCAGAGGCCCGGCTTACTGCACAGTGTGCTGAGGAGAGAATGGCTGAACTTATGATGATCTGGGAAAGGAACAAATCAGTGAGCCCAACAGTCAATCCAATGTCTACTGCTATGCAGAATGAACGGTAAGACCCTGAGGGCTTTGGCATCTATCACATGGTATTGGCAACTGAGACCAGATAAAGGATAGGAAGTAAATGCTAGTAAGCCAGCCTAATAGTGTGATAACTCACACCTATCAGTGTAAAAGGTCATCATGTCGTTTTTAATTACGTGTACGGGGAGTAGGGATGTGCACATGAGTTAAGGTATCTGGAGGCTAGAGATGTGGATTGTGGACTCTGGTGCTGTGACCTGCAGTCAGGTCCTCTGCACGAATTCGTGCTCTTAAACACTGAGCCATCTCTCTAGCCCCTCAGTATTTCCATTCTTGTACTGAAAATATTTGTTCGTTATGAATACAAGACAGAATATGTATCCTTATATCTAAATGCACAGTAAAAGAAATTAGTCTTTACTAGCTGCTCATGGAGGCACACACCGTTAACACTCAGATCTTAGTTCGAGGCCAGCCTGGAATACAGAGCAAGTTCCAGGGCAGCCAGGCTACACAGAGAAACAAAAGCTGAAAGAAAGAAATTAGTTTTTATTAATGTAACTCACCTTTCATGTTAAAGGTCAAATGTTTTCATAGTATAAAAAGTTTATAATTGCTTCTACATATATTATGTGGTATATCTTTAGTTATTAGTGATATTCTTTAAAAAAAAAAAAAAAAACGAACAAGACTTTGTCTACATATTTAGCTGCTGTTTGACTGGACACTAAGACTCTCAGACTGCCTAGCCACTGTTCCCTCTTAAAGAATACACTGCTAATACATTCACTTTAACATGACCCAAAAGGCCTTTCTACTTCCATGATACTGTTTTATGAGACACTTCCTTTGTTAGAACTATAATTTTAGACCCTAAATAAAGAAGTTTTTTAAAGAAATTAAGCCAGGCATACTAGCTAATGCCCGTCATTTCAGAGCTTGGGAGGCTGAGGTGAGAAGATTGCCACAAGTTCAAGGCCAACTTAGACTACATGACGAATTCCGGGCCAACCTGGGTTGCAGATTAGGACCCTGTCTCGAAAGTTGAAAAGCCAAACATCCCTATAGTTTTGTACTTGTAAATAGATCACCTGTATTTCTTGGTCCTGTATTTGGAAGTAAAAATAACAACTTTATTATTTCATCTAATAAATATTTAAAAGTTTCTGGAAAACACTCAGGAAAATATTACCAGGGGATATGAAGATAAAAGTAAACTTCATCCTTGAATTTTTTTCTATTTTCTGTTCTGATTTGTAAGAACAGTTTGTGTTATGTGGCTGTTTGCACTACTTGTACGTAGATGGATGAGCTTCAGTTATATACTTTGCATCACAAACCAAGGAGAGTAGAGACTGCTTGTTCTGAGTAGAAGTGTTCTCACTTTACAAGTATTATGAGAGGCTGGAGAAATGGCTCAGTGGTTAAGAGCACTGACTATTCTTCCTTAAAGGACCCGGGTTCAATTCCCAGCACCCACATGGCAGCTCACAACTGTCTCCATTTCCAAGGGATCTGACACCTTCATGCTGATGCCCATAAAATAAAAATTAAATTATAAAAAAATTAAAAAAACAAGTATTATGGGAGTCTTCTGCTTCCTTCTTCATTCTATATTTCTGCTGTAAAATGTGCAGTTTATATATCTGTCTGTCAAGAGTCAGGGACCAAGGGACCAGAGAGATGATGGCTCAGTGGTTAAAAGCCCTTGTTGCTCTTGCAGAGGACCCTGGCTCGTTCGTTCTTTCCCTCCTTCCTTTCCTTTCTTTTTCTCTTTTTCTTTCCTTCCTTCCTTTCTGTCTTTCTTTTTCTTTCTCTTACTCTTTTTTTCATTTATTTATTTTTTTAACTTTTTTTAATTACACTTTATTCACTTTGTATCCCCCCATAAACTCCTCCCTCCTCTCCTCCCAACCCCACCTTCCCTCTCCCCTCTTCACACATGCCCCTCCCCAAGTCCACTGAAAGGGGAGGTCCTCCTCTCCTTCCTTCTAATCCTAGTCCTTCAGATTTCATCAGGAGTGGCTGCATTGCCATCTTCTGTGGCCTGATAAGGCTGCTCCTCCCTCAGGGGGAGGTGATCAAAGAGCAGGGCAATCAGTTTATGTCAGAGGCAGTCCCTGTTCCCATTACTATGGAACCCACTTGGACACTGAATTTCCTTGGGCTACATCTGTGCAGGGGTTCTAGGTTATCTTCATGCATGGTACTTGGTTGGAGTATGAGTCTCTGGGAAGACCCCTGTGTTTAAATTTTCTAGTTCTGTTGCTCTCCTTGTGGAGTTCCTGTCCTCTCCAGATCTTACTATTTCCCACTTCTTTCATAAGATTCCATGCACTCTGCCCAAAGGTTGCCCATAAGTCTCAGCATCTGCTTTGGTAGTCTGCAGGGCAGAGCCTTTCAGAGGTCCTCTGTGGCAGGTTCCTAACTTGTTTCCTGTTTTCTTCTTCTTCTGATGTCCATCCTCTTTGCCTTTCAGGATGAGGATTGAGCATTTTAGTCAGGATCCTCCCTCTTGATTAGTTTCTTTAGGTGTACAGATTTTAGTAGGTTTATCCTATATTATATGTCTCTATGAGTGAGTATATACCGTGTGTGTCTTTCTGCTTCTACGACAGCTCACTCAGGATGATCCTTTCCAGTTCCCACCATTTACCTGCAAATTTCATGATTTCCTTATTTTTCATTGCTGAGTAATACTCCATTATGTAGAGGTAATACAATTTCTGTATCCATTCTTCAGTTGAGGGGCATCTGGGTTGTTTCCAGCTTCTGGCTGTTACAAATAAAGCTGCTACAAACATGGTTGAGCAAATGTCCTTATTGTGTACTTGAGCCTCTTTTGGATATATGCCTAGGAGTGGTATGGCTGGATCTTGAGGAAGCGCTATTCCTAGTTGTCTGAGAAAGCGCCAGATTGATTTCCAGAGTGGTTGTACAAATTTACATTCCCACCAGCAGTGGAGAAGGGTTCCCCTTTCTCCACAACCTCTCCAGCATGTCTTGTCACTTGAGTTTTTTATCTTGGCCATTCTGATGGGTGTAAGGTGAAATCTCAGGGTCGTTTTGATTTGCATTTCCCTGATGGCTAATGAGGTTGAGCATTTCTTTAAGTGTTTCTCTGCCATTCGATATTCCTCTATGGAGAATTCTCTGTTTAGCTCTGTTTCCCATTTTTTAATTGGATTACTTGGTTTGTTGTTTTTCAGCTTCTTTAGTTCTTTATATATACTGGATATTAGCGCTCTGTCAGATAGAGGGTTGGTGAAGATTCTTTCCCAATCTGTAGGCATTTGTTTTGTTTTGATGACGGTGTCCTTTGCTTTACAGAAGCTTTTCAGTTTCATGAGGTCCCATTTATTGATTGTTGCTCTTAGAGCCTGTGCTATTGGTGTTCTGTTCAGGAAGTTGTCTCCTGTACCAATGAGTTCTAGGGTCTCCTTTTTCTTCTAACTGATTTAATGTGTCTAGTTTTATGTTGAGGTCTTTGATCCACTTGGACTTTAGTTTTGTTCAGGGTGATAATTATGGATCTATTTGCATTTTTCTACATGAAAAATATGGAACGCTTCACGAATTTGCGTGTCTTTCTTGCGCAGGGGCCATGTAATCTTCTCTGTATCGTTCCAATTTTAGTATATGTGCTGCCGAAGCGAGCACTCTTTTACTCTTTTTCTTTCTCTCTTTCTACTTTCTCTTTCTTTCTCTCTCTTTGTTTCTTTCCCCCTTTTCTTGTGCATTCACCTCTCTTTGGAACGGGTCCTTACACCTCTGGTATCTTCTAAGTTTTCCTTAAATAATAGTTTATTCAATAGTTGTTTGCACTGTAGGCTTCATTTTGTTGAGCCTTAACTTCTCCCTATCTCCTCCGCTTCTCTTCTCACGGCTAGGCAGTAGCCTTCTCTTTGCCTTGCTGTCATTCCCTTATAGTACAGCAGTCTTCTTTTACAGAGCCTCATTTCCTTCAGCTGCTGATTGTCTTCTGTAATACTTTTATCTGTTAATATCCCAGGACCCTGGCTACCTCAGGGAAGGCCATCCTTAATGCTTTCTGTGATGAGATTTTAAATAATTATAGAACCGTGTGACAGCCCAGAGCTGTCACTGCCAAGGAGTGATGATGCCAGTTATGCACCTCAGTAACTGAAGGAGCCCTATAAGTCTCTGTCCCTAGCTGAGTGTCATATTCTGCCTCACATCTCACCTCCATAACTTTCACTGGTAGTGGCTACCCCAGGAAGGCGTGTTCTATTGCTAGTCTGTGCTGCTTAAAGGTGGGTGCTTTGAGGAAATGAACAAATTCTGTTCTCTTTATCACTTGGCCATTTGAACCTAGCTCATAACATATTTGTGGAGCATGTACTATTGGATCTAGAATTACAGGAATACAAAATAATTATCTCATGGCACCTCCAGTTACAAAACACTGCCTACTCATAAAATTCATAAAAATGTATTTGTTGATATTTGCTGGTGTTATAGAATCATAGGTGAGTTTCTTTTTTAGAATGAACTCTTTCATGTATTTTTTTTCTTTTTTTTTTAGATTTTGTTTTTATTTTATGTGTATGAGCGCCTGAATGAATGTGCTCCATGTTCCTGCACTGCCTGCCAGGGCCAGGAGATGGCACTGGATCTTCAGGGACTGGAATTCCAGGCATTTGTGAGCTGCCAGTGGGTGCTGGGAATCAAAGAGCAGCTGGGCCATTTAAGCACTGATTCATCCCTCCATCCCCTAAATTAACCCTTGGAAACCAAATATTGAGCATTCGTAAACATTCTATCTGGAACCTGTTGTTGTAAATATGGAAAGGTGTTGAGCTATATATTATTTATTATTAGCCCTATTATTATTATGGAGGTATTGTCTAACCTGCTATCACAAATAATAAGACACAGACACCTGTTAGATTTTATAATTGCCTTATTTACCTTTGGCCAGGCAGATATTTCAATTACACTGTCTCAGTATTTTCACAATCAATCTCCCAGCCCCCGTCCAGTGCCATCTGCCTTAATCCCCCTCGTCTGCTCTCCCTTCCAGACATAGTCCCATGGTACTTGCTTTATTCTTCCTCTGGGCCTTTCTGCCCCATCATTGGAATCCTTTCTCAAGTCCCACATGGTTTTTTCTCCACACTAACCCATGATGGCATCCTCCTCCTTCCTTTCTTCCCATCTGGCCCTTTCTTGTTATTCCTCCTGGGATTCTTCAAAGCCCAGGAACCTTAGCCACGCCTACCCCATTCTGTCCTGCTCAGGTATAAGCTCTTTAATTAGCCAATCAGGTATAATGACTTAGGCAGGTTTACACAGAGGGCCAGTAATTAGCATCAGACCAACCTCAAATAGGAACCATTTAGATTTTCATAGAACCTTAAAGATTTCATATTTTAAAAACTCATAAAATTTGTATTTAGCGAGTTGGGGATTTAGCTCAGTGGTAGAGCACTTGCTAGGCCCTAGGTTTGGTCTTCAGCTCTGAAAAAAAAAAAAAAATTGTGTTTAGCAAGCTGTTATTAATTACTAGAATTTTGAAGTAACCTCTTAAATATGAATTAGTAAAATAGGACAAGTGAGATGGCTTGGTGGGTGAAGAGCTTGCCACCAAGCCTGACAAACATGCCATGTACATACTAAATAAGCGCAATAAAAAGAATGTAAAGCATGAAAAAATAAAAAAGCAGTTGGACTTTGAAATCAGTGGTGTTTACTTGGAATAGGCAATTTGTCCTAAGTTTACATTCTCAATGCCAAACTCTTTTTTCTCTCTCCCTTCAAGCAACCTGTCACACAATAGGCGTGTGCCAAAAATTGGGCCTTACCCGGATTATTCTTCTTCCTCATATATTGAAGACTCCATCCATCACACTGACAGCATTGTGAAGAATATTTCCTCTGAGCATTCGATGTCTAGCACCCCTTTGACTATAGGAGAAAAGAACCGAAATTCAATTAACTATGAACGACAGCAAGCACAAGCTCGAGTCCCCAGCCCCGAAACGAGTGTCACCAGCCTGTCCACAAACACAACCACCACAAACACCACTGGCCTCACCCCAAGTACCGGCATGACCACTATATCTGAGGTGCCATACCCGGATGAAACAAATCTGCATGCCACCAATGTCGCACAGTCAATCGGGCCAACCCCCGTCTGCTTACAGCTGACGGAAGAAGACTTGGAGACTAATAAGCTAGACCCGAAAGAAGTTGATAAGAACCTCAAGGAGAGCTCCGACGAGAATCTCATGGAGCATTCTCTGAAACAGTTCAGTGGGCCAGACCCCCTGAGCAGTACCAGTTCCAGCCTGCTTTACCCACTAATAAAGCTTGCAGTGGAGGTGACTGGACAGCAGGACTTCACACAGGCTGCCAACGGTCAGGCATGTTTAATTCCTGACGTTCCACCTGCTCAAATCTATCCTCTCCCTAAGCAACAGAACCTTCCTAAGAGACCTACTAGTTTGCCTTTGAACACCAAAAATTCAACAAAAGAACCCCGGCTAAAATTTGGCAACAAGCACAAATCAAACTTGAAGCAAGTAGAAACTGGAGTTGCCAAGATGAATACAATCAATGCAGCAGAACCTCACGTGGCGACAGTCACTATGAATGGTGTGGCCGGTAGAAGCCACAGTGTTAATTCCCATGCTGCCACAACCCAGTATGCCAATGGGGCAGTGCCAACTGGCCAGGCAGCCAACATGGTGGCTCATAGGGCCCAAGAAATGCTGCAGAATCAATTCATTGGTGAAGATACCCGTCTGAATATCAATTCCAGCCCTGATGAGCATGAACCTCTACTAAGACGAGAGCAACAAGCTGGCCGTGATGAAGGGGTTCTGGATCGCTTGGTAGACAGGAGGGAGCGGCCATTAGAAGGTGGCCGAACTAATTCCAATAACAACAACAGCAATCCATCTTCAGAACAAGATGTACTTACACAAGGTGTTACAAGCACAGTTGCAGATCCTGGGCCGTCAAAGCCCAGAAGAGCACAGAGGCCCAATTCTCTGGATCTCTCAGCCACAAATATTCTGGACGGCAGCAGTATACAGAGTAAGTGGAGGGACCATGCAGTGTACTTGGGACAGTTAAATAAAAAAGAATCAGTTTACATTTCAACTGTTGATTCTTTACCTTGATCACTTCCAGAGACAAAAGAGACTGGGCCTTGGAAGGAATTAGATTTTTGTAAAGGGGGGAAATGGGTTTTCTTTCATTTCTTTCTTTTCCCTTCTCCCCTTTTCGGTCATTAATAACTAAAAAGCTGGTATCACAATAGTCAGAAGAATGACCAACTTCATCTGTGTTTTGCGTGGGGTCGTCTTTATGGTATGGTTCACATACTCACCATGACAGATGAGATGAGATCAGTATTCAGTAACGGTAGAGCACCCGAATAGCAACAGTATGCCACTTACTTCTTCAACATTTGCTGAAATATGAATGCGTAAAGTCTACATTCAGGCCAGGCACGATGGCAGACACCTGCAATCCGAGCACTCCAGGAAGCAGAGGCAGGTGGATCACTGTGAGTTCGAGGCCAGCCTGTCTACAAAGTGAGTCCAGAACAGCTAAGGCTACACAGGGAAACCCCATTTCGAAAAAAAAAAATAAAAAATAAAAAAATAAAATAAAATCTACATTTAGTTATTAACCTGTGTGTGTGTCTGTGTGTGACAGAGAGACAGGGTCTGACCTGACTGGCCTGGAACTTGCTATCTAGACTGGGCTGGTCTTAACTCACAGTGAGCTGGGATTAGGCATGTGCCACCACACCCAGCTCTTAGTAAGTCATGGAAGTCAAGAGAAGTTTCAGAAAACTGTGACATTGTTCTCAGTCTCTTGGTGTCATCTTGATATTATGTCTCATGTACTGAGCGGGGCCGTGGGCAGGAACCTTGGCAGATAAGCTGGCGCTGACAGGAAAGCACACCAGAGTCCCTTAACATTAAAGAAGATGATTTTTCTTCAGTTTATATTTATGAAAGAAAAAGTCTCTTATGCTTTCTTACAGTAAAGAATGGGCTAAAAGGTTTCAGAACAGTAAATATCTAGCCCCAGCCAGGCGGTGGTGGCACACCTGTCATCCCAGCACTTGGGAGGCAGAGGCAGGAAGATCTCTGAATTCGAGGCCAGCCTGGTCTATAAAGTGAGTCCAGGACAGCCAAGGTTACACAGAGAAAATCTTTCATGAAAAAACAAAACCAAATGTGTGTGTGTGTGTGTGTGTGTGTGTGTGTGTGTGTGTATGTACCTATTATCCCCTTGGCTAGACATGTAGATCAGAAGAGTACTTGTCCAGTATACACAAGGCCCAGGTTTCAGTCTCCAGAACCACAAAGAAAAAAAATCTAGCCCTTTGCTTGAGTGGTTTATATTACAAGCTAGCTGACACACCCTGCTTGCTTCTGTATCAATAAAGCATTTTCTCAAATGTGAGAAGAGAGGTAATGGGAGGATGGTCATCCCTCTAAAATGTCATGTTAGAGGCCCTTTATTCAGTCCACTTGGAACATGTTTTGTTCTGCGTTATCTTTTTGAGACAAGGACTCACTTTGCAACTTGTTGTGACAAAGGCTAGACCTGAATTCAGCCTCCTTTTGCCTCAGCCTCCTAGGAACTTTATTACAAGAGTGCATCTCCCACCACACCTCGCCCAGCTGTCAGCAGTGAGTCAAATGATACCTGTTTCTAGCAAGTCGGAGTCTACACCAGAGCAAAAGGATTTGAGAATACAATTGAGAGTTTCAAATTTATCCCAGCACCCTGGGAGGATCTCTGTGAGTTCGAGGCCAGCCTGATCTACAAAGTGAGTCCAGGACAACCAAAGCTACACAGAGAAACCCTGTCTCAAAAAAAAAAAAAAAAAAAAAATTAATTTTGAATTTTCTCAGTTCTTGTGAGTTTTATTTTTTGGTTACATCTCAAAAACAAGCTGGTTGAATTTTGATAAAGCATCGCCTAGCTTTATCACATATTTCAAGAAATGTTCATCATTGGGTTCCACGGACACTGGACATTCAGCCCCATTATTTTCCCATCCAGTTTTGTTTTGTTGTGTTGTGGTGACACCGTCTTCTGTAGCTCAGGCTGGCCTCGTGTAGTAGGATAATATTGAGCCTGGTCCTCCTGCTTCTACTCCAAAGTGCTGGGATTGCAGATACACACCACTGTCGGTGTCCACGGGCTGCCAGGAGGGAGCTCAGGGCATTCTAGGCAAGCACTCCTATCAGCTAGCCTCATAGCCAGGAAACCCCTTTACTTGTAAATGTCCTCCTTTTGCACAGCTCATCTCCTGTACTTTTATTTCCAGTAGGTGATTCGACACACGATGGCAAATCAGGATCAGGTGAAAAGATCAAGAAACGTGTGAAAACTCCGTATTCACTAAAGCGGTGGCGCCCATCCACCTGGGTCATCTCCACTGAACCTCTGGACTGTGAGGTCAACAACAATGGCAGTGACAGGGCAGTTCATTCTAAGTCTAGCACTGCTGTGTACCTTGCTGAGGGAGGCGCTGCCACAACCATGGTGTCTAAAGATATAGGGATGAATTGTCTGTGACATGTTTTCAAGCTTATGGAGTGAAATTATTTTTTTGCATCATTTAAACATGCAGAAGACATTAAAAAAAAAAAAAAAACTGCTTTAACCTCCTGTCAGCACCCCTTCCCACCCCTGCAACAAGGACTTGCTTTAAATAGATTTCAGCTATGCAGAAAATTTTAGCTTATGCTTCCATTTTTTTTTATTTTTTTAAGTTTTGCACTTTTGTTTAGTCTCGCTAAAGTTATATTTGTCTATTATGACCACATTATATGTGTGCTTATCAAAAGTGGTCTCAAAATATTTTTTTAAGAAAAAAGCAAAAACAGTGTATTGCTGATAATCAGTTTGGACCATTTTCTAAAGGTCATTAAAACAGAAGCAAATTAAGACAGGTTTGACTGCAATGGTGTCTGGTATCCATGTTTTATTTCTGGGCACAGACGAGTTTATATGTTGCTGTGTTTTTAAACATATTACCTGTTGGCCATCTTTTCTCTTATATTTTATTTGAATGTGCAATAGTCTGTAGAACACAGAAAGCTCTTATTAGCTCTCTTCCTAGCAGGGCACACATTCTTCCATTGTTGAAGCATTTCCCCCTTCTTGATAATACGAACATTTTCTTACTTTCTCCTTATGGAGATGCATAGACACTGTCCAAAGGGCTCCAAAAAGGACTCACCAAAACCTTTTTTGAAATGCCATTGTCTTTTAACCTTCCAAAAAAAAAAAAAGCGTTTCCTGTTTCCTTCCAGGCATTTTAATAAACATATTTGGTTCTGATTTTGGAAGTTCATAAGAGAGCATAGAACAAAGCAGAAGAAAACAAATATTAGCCTTTTCCATTTTATTTTCCTATGTATGTTCCTGTTCCATGTTCATTATTTAAGAAAGACTTTTTATCAGAGAACGTATAGAGCTAAACCTACATGGAATTCTCAAGTAGACGGGCAGGTTATATAGTGTAGTAGCTTTCATCGTCTGACCATCACAAATCAGATTACATTTCCCGTTTATAATAACTTCAGGATTCATAGTTTTGAGTTTCTAGTATCTTTTATTGTTTTCCAGCAAAGCCTGACAGCTTTATGTGAAAAACGATTCCTCTTCCCATGACCTAACACACTGTGTGGAAAGCTCATTCGACCACCACGCCAGATTCCTGTGTAGGAAGGCTTGCTGCCAAACTCAGGACTACGGGGCAGGCTGAGCTACCGTCCTCCCTCCCTAACCTAGTTCTTTGCTAATCCTGTTTTCATAGGTTCTCCCTTGCCGGCTTCACAAGATCTTTGATTGTGAAGAGCATTTATTATTTATGTGCTAGTAAAGCATGCCTTCTAGTGATGACATACCCGGAGCTTACTGTGAAGCTCCTTTTGCTTCTTTTGCCCTGAATGATCTCCAAAACAACAGTCTCTGTGTCTTTTACTAAAGCACTTTCTGTCAAATAAGGGGATTTTCCTAAACATTGTTTCCTGTCAGTTTGCAAACAGATTGTGTTTTTTCAGATTCTCAGAATTCTTAATATCCATTATCTGATTAAGTTTTAAATTTGGGGGAGGGGAGAGATAAAAAAAATTAAGTATAGATCTCCAAATTCCAGATTGCAGTTCTTATGTCGTGATGTCATTTCTTCATTTGTAATCTGTGTCCTTACCATGGTACTAGGCAGCCCACTTTCCCAGGGCACTGTCCACAACGGTTGTGACCTACTCACTCCTGTGTGAGCCTTCTTTGACCTGCCATCTGCTGTGCTTCTTTGATGGGCCACAGTTACCATTTATTCAGCTGGATTGCTGACCAGAGGTCTCAGTTCTTAGGATTAAGATTATCTACCTTGTGCCCAGGACTCTTTTCTCACTGTTGTGTTTTATTGGCCCTTCTTGTGGTTCCGATTCTTAATATTTATTTCTGTCTTCCGGCATACAGTGGTTTTCCAGATAATTACTATCTTTTGTCTGTGTGTCTTTCACTGATTTCCCTTGTCCAAATGGCTTTTAAACACATTTTAGGATTTTTGTTTTTCAGTTGTGAGAAAACTTTAAATCAAAATAAATTATATTCCTCCCATCTCCAATTTGAAACATTGAGAATAAATGACCTTTTGAGGTCCAACTGCTATTTTCCTTTCAGAAAAATTGTCTTACATTCTGATACAGTTTGTATTAGGGCCAGTCAATTGTGAATTTTCCAACAGTCCTTAATGTTTAATAATAAAATGCTTTAAAAATTAATATGCCAGATTAAAAGAAATCTGTGTGTGTAGTTCCCATCTAATGCAAATGTATTTAAAACAATTCCTTGAGTGGCTTGAAAAATAGGAAACGTAGAAAGTATAGGTCATTTAAATAAACTTTGACATCTGTAATTTACAGATGCAGAAGTCCTTTAATAAATTACTTGTTAGCTCTATTTATCTGATTCCTGAAACGGCTGAAACTGAATTCACCACAAAATTTGACACACAAAAAAATTAATTTTGAGCCGGACATGGTGGTGCACACCTGTAATCCCAGCACTCAGGGAGGCAGAGGCATCGGATCACTGTGCGTTTGAGGCCAGCCTGATCTACAAAGCAAGTACAGAACAGCCAAGACTGCACAAAGAAACCTTGTCTTGGAAAAAAAGAATTACCTTTGGGCCCTTTGAATAAAAGTCATTTAGTTTAAAAATCTTTCTCTGGTCAGTAATATAATGTTAAACGCATCATAACAGGACATCAGAGCTGTTAATCCCTTTAAGAAAGTATGAGTTGTGGGGAGGTAGTGGAGCAGTGGGAGTGCTTCCTGCCCTCCCCGGGACCCCACTCAGTTCCCAGCAGCTGCGGAGCAGCTCACAGCTTCCACGGGATCCAGTTCCCTCTTGGCCTCCACTGCGTGCACATGACCCCACCACCACATGCACACATAATTAAAAATAATGAAAGCAAATCTTAAAATCCTAATTGTATACTAGAACTAAGTAATGAAAAGAACTTGGTTTGAATTATGTATAGAATAAAACAACTTAAATAAGAATCCTATAAAAAAATTTAGTGTAATTTAAAAATTTTCCGGTGTAATTTAAAAAACACTGTTAATGTAGGAATTTATGAAAAGACATGCTGAAAACTGGCATGTACATATACTGTTTTTTCATCTTCAGAGCAACCATATTACAATTAATATTCATAGTTTACAAACAAGGAAATACAAATTAGAGGAGATAATTAACTTTGTCCCAGTTTGATATCCAGACAGACCTAGGATTTTACCCTGGGTCTGTCACTCATGTCTCTTTCATACAGCACAGTCTATGTTCTTCAGTTTATAGTGGTGAGCCTCGCCTTTGATGCTGAGCCATCTCTGCAGCTGGACGGTCCACGTTCTTTATGAAAGGATGTGTAATAACTGTAGTAACTGTCCTCCAGCAGATCTGTGGTTTCTGGGCAAGCCAAACCCGGTCCCTTAATGGTCTTAGAAGTTGGGTAAACATAGTGAGGCCTGTAATCATTGCTTAACAGTTACTAATTCAATGCAAAATTAAAGTCTCCTAATGTCCTTATATTGCAGAACTAAAGTAAAATTTAAGAGAAAAGTGAAGGTAGCTGTGGGAACAGAGACTTCCTAAAGTGATTCCATACCAGATTTGGAAAAAATAGTTTAATATAAAAATTCAGTCTTCTCAATCCTTTGACTCCACCTTTAAAATTCCTGCTTTAACAGTGTTATAAAACTTGTTAATCCAGAGAACTAAATACCTTGTGGAAACAATACAAGATTAATTCCCTTTTTATAAGGCAGGCCAGTGTGGCTTCCTCACATGAGTATATTTGTTCCCGAAGCTGTGTTGGTTCTAAATGAGAAAACGGAGAGGGAACTCTGAAATAGTCTATCAGTGGAAATTACCACAGATTTTGGCAAGTATTTTTTATTTAAATTAGTTCCAAGTGTGACTTGGAACACCTGATAGGCTGCAGCTGTTGTGCTGCACTTTCAGTCTCTGTTAATTAGTCATTTAACATAGAAAAATTCAGTAAACATTTGTTTCCTGTTTCTGTGTGTATGGACATTCACTCACTTCTGGAAGTTGATACTGTATTATATTTTATATCATGTTTTATAAACCTACGTGTATATTCTTACATGACTGTCCACAGGTTTTTAAAAATACATAATTACCTTATATTCTTAACCCCTTAAAAGATAGATTCTGCACACATTCTAGCTGACATTCCAGACCTGTCGTTCTAGAAAGTGTGTGCCCCCCCCCCCCCCCCGCCCCAGGAATCTCTTCTAGGCTGTGATAATTTCCAGTATTCACACCCTTAACTAGCAGTGGGTTGTAGTGTTTGGGGGTTTTTGTTTGTTTGTTTTTTAGTTTTGAGCTATGTAAACTTCATCCAAAAACTACCTTACATGATCTCTTTCTGACTATGCTCTGTATGTCAGTCTGGCTTTCTGAGCTACAAGGTTATTAGCAAAAGGCCTTTCTGCAAGTGTCCACATTCACACGGGAGGAAATCCCTTGTGCCCAAAGAGGTGTTAGCGCCTGCAGGTCCTCTCTTCAGGCCCCTCATGGTTTAGAGCTGACTGGCCCTCCACTGTCTGACTTGCAGTTTTCTTCATTCCTGTTCTGTCTCTCTTGCTTTGTTTGGAGTCTGTTTCTCGTACCAAGTAGGGAAAAGAGGATAGATGATCATACTCTATAAAGCTCTTTGGTCAGCTTCAGGCTTCTCAGTTAACACTTCAGTTCTACAGATAAAATTATTCCACTTCCTTTAGGGTTTTTTTTTTCCTCCTCAAACCTATTTTAATTACTTTATTTATATTTAAGAGCACATAAAAGTTATATTCAAATTAATTACTTCAGTTAATTTATAGCACAATAGTTGGATAGAATTGAGAATAAAGATATTACCATTTGATAATGGATTTAGTCATAAGACCACCTGAAAGTCAGCACTTAATTTTTGTATTATCTAACATTTTCTACTAAAGTGTATTTTATGATTTTATATCTGCACAGATATAACTAAAAAGCCATGCATACATAGTTGTGTATCATTTTTCATTAAACTCTAACCTATGTTACAGTGAGTTTTAGTATTATGATTGAGCCACAACAAATATTGTACATTTCTCTTTATCAGATACTGTATTAAACACTAAATGCAAAATTAACTTTCAAAAGGAGACCCTACAAAAATCAGGTATTATCCATGGATATTTTTGTATTTTTGTAGACCACTTTTGAAATGCTTACATTGTTTTTGCAGCATAGACTGGACTAAAACAATTTTCATTTTAACTTTTAAGTAATTAAGATTGGGTGTTTGCATAGAAAGGAAATCTTTAAAATTTATCTCATAGCGCGTAGATTTGAAAATAAGTATTTGAGAAGCTATCCTATGTGTTAAGTTTATGCCCGAAATAAATCTATTAAATCTTTTTAAAAATTCTAATTTTGTTATTACTGAAGTTTGTGGTGTTTCTAGCGAACGTTGTAAACATACACATTCATTTGTAATACTTAGTTTGCAGCCCATATTAAAATCTGGAGCAGAAAGAATCTTTAGAACTAAATTGCTTCATTAGGATGTCCAGTTTGTAACTGAATTTTAAAGAAAATTGACTGTACTTGAAATTACAACTTGACTGGTTTTTTTCCTTTTTAAAAGGTTTTCCCCCTCATTTTGTTTGTGTTTTAAATTTCAGAAACATCTTGAGGTTTAGAATCACTTCTAGACATAGTATTACTTAAAAACTCAGGGCCCCTTTCATCCATCTGTTTGTACACTGAAAAGTTCAGTTGCCAGCCAACAAGCAATTAGGTCTAGTTGAATATTAAAAAGTATGTTGCATAGAAATGTTTCATCATATTATTTGACCTAATTCACATCAACATGATACTTGATTTCATTAATCATGAAAACTTGCCCAGTTCTGTAATTACTGAATAGAAGGAATGACTCAACTAATTGGCCACAAGTTACAGCAGATTTAAGCCTTGGATTTAAAGCACTGGCTTTAACACTTCTGTCCTTGCTTCTGTGCTTATCCCTGATGGGGCAAATGTTCCATTCTGTTTTGTTCTTTAATGGCAGAGCTTAGGAAGGGTAATTCTGAGCTAGAATTATCTAAAGAGATAATTAGCATCATAGGACTTTCTGAAAGTGAGCTGATGGCTGCAGCTTTAGTGACCGCTCGAAGGCTTTGAGAAGGTAAGCTGTGGTGACCAGCTTTCCACACTGATCAGAGCCAAACAGTTTTTCTTCGAGTCAGACAGACTCAAGCTCTACTTGGTCTGCTGTATGTTTAAACCTTAGCAGTGAAGTTTTTGTAATCAAGTCTCTTGTCTCAGGCTCCCTACCTTGTTATCAGTCTTAAGTATACAAAAGAAACATTTGTAAAGATGTGTAAGAGTAAGAAAACTAATGATTTAAAAAAATGCAATTCAGAGCAGTTAGGTTTCAATTTAATATTAAGTTGCTTCACTTTTGTGGCTATTTTTTTCCTGGTAACATTTATTTATTTAAGCAATGTTGTATGCCTTGTCTTCATTTTTATAGAGATTGTATTGTAAAAGTGTTTGTGTAAGCTGGAATCATCCTTAATTTTCTGTTGCTAATTTTTCAAATGAATTTACATGGATAACTGTAAAATACACTAACTCTTAGTATGTTATAGCTGAAACATGGAGATGTGTAGCTGCCGTGCTTTTTCTGAGTGGACAGGAGAAACACAAGCTACCGAGTATTCATTTCTGAGGGGCTTTAGAGAAAGCAAGGCTGACAATACAGGCACTTCCTCAGAACCCTCTTTCTTGTTAACGGGTATCTTTTGTTGGTGTGTTTTGCTCTTACATTACAGCTAGAATATCGTGTGTGAAATTTATGAGTAATTTCAGTTATTTTGCTTTTGTACAAGCCATCTGAGACCTTGCTATGCTGTATAAGCTGTGTTTGATGGAGCAGTGTGAGTATGAAATAAAGCAGATCACTTTCCTTTTGTATTATCTATGGATGCCACTATGAACGCTGACGTTAAGCCACTAAAGAGTTTTCTATGAATAAGTGTAAGTAAATGCTTTGATATATATAAACCTAAATAAAAAGATTGTATTGAGACAGAGACATTGGCAAAGGAAGTTTTAAGGCAGTTCTTTAGGTTTAAAAAGGCTTGCTGTAAAATGGTGCATTATTCCATTTATTAAAGATCATATTAATGACAACAGTAAGTGTATTTTTTTTATTTTTTGAAGTCTCCAAAAGTTGTTACTAATAAGATATTGTAGAAACTTTATAGAAGTCAGTACATGCTCTCTCTAACATGACTTTTATAACTTGTAATACAAAAAAAAAAAAAAATCAACTGCAATTAGAATAGCTGCTTCTTTCTACCTGTTTACAATACGCCAAACACCATGTTGCTTATTTTACATACAGTTGACAGTTTTCACAACTGTCTTACAAATGTGTTCTCTCTCTCTCTCTTTTGAAGAAACAGAAGGTCAGGAAATTTAAATACTTTATTCAAGCCACAGAGCTGGTTAAGTGAAAAATGAAATCCCCGTAAATGCAATTTTACTTTGCCTTGAACTACACCTTTTGAGCTTTGCTTGTAGCAAGGAAAACTCATGAACAGAAATAAAGTTTGTTTGGTGGTAGACATGTGGCCAAGAACAAAGTGATTGAAGAGTATCCAAAGCCACAGGTACCCAACTCCTCTGCTCCCCGAATATTGTTTTGGTGCCCAAGTTGCTAAGTTTGGTTACATCCTTGTGTTTTTAGGAAATTTCCTCTTCCTCCTACAGTGTCTTTCTGTGTTGCCCTGCTTCTGCCTCCAGAGTAACTGGTAGTGGGAGCTCCTACTACCATAACAGCTTGAACACTTGCTTAAATGGAACGTGTGCTTGGGGAGGGCAGCAGCACATTGTATGTCTCTAGATGAATTCAGTGCGTGTCCTAGGCTAGGTGTCCTGCAGTGGAATCTTGTGTGCGTGCATGCATCGTGCATGCATGTGTGTGTGTGTGTGTAGCAAGCATGTTCAAGAGATGTGTGCTTTTTACCCAGCCAAATGCCGAGATAATTTTTGCTGGAAGAACAAATGTGGCCTGCTCGCGCAGGCCCTGTTGTAATCTGGAGTGATGTTTAGGGGTCATGAATTTGAGGTGACGTTTTCATTTTGGCTGTAGTTCACATGTTACAGGGCACTATTGCAGTTCCCTCAGAGCCTTCTGTGTGCTGTTTAAGATGATAACTGCATGTCCTTAGAGGAAATGTGGGAAACGCTTGTAATAATGACCCATTGACTCTTTTATTTGTTTAAGTTTTACTCATTTTCATTTTATGGGCATTGGTGTTTTGCCTGCATGTGAGGGTGTCGAATTCTCTGGAACTGGAGTTACAGACAGTTGTGAGCTGCCATGTGGGTGCTGGGAATTGAACCCCAGTCCTCTGGAAGAGCAGCCAGGGGTCTTAACCACTGAGCCATCCCTGTAGCTCCCAATGAACCTTTTAATGATGTACCAAAAGTAAAATTATTCTCATTTAGGCATATCTGCTGTTTCCACAGCGTATACTCCTCTCTGCAAGGAGCTACCTTCAGCCAGTGATTAATCTTTTCATTCTATAACGTTTTTTAGATTAAAGACCAAATCCTATATTCTTTTTATTGGTACAATTTATTTTTCAGAATTGAAAAGATGGACTGAGAGATAATAAAGCTATGCTGTAACTCCCCCAGGAGGAGAGGGCTCATGGTGGTGTTGACTTTTCCTAGGAGACACATGGGGATGCCTGTTTGCACTGATAGGACACTTAGCTGACCAAAGGAGAGACTCTGTCCAAGCGCAGCTTGATAAACCTGTGAGTTCTTGGTCATCCATCCAGATGGGTGGCTCATAAGCAGGTCCTTGACTGAGCTCCCAGACAACCTGGAAAGCTGCATCGCTGGAGCTCCCCTCGGGTAACCTGAGGCCACCCGCAGAGTGGATCTCAGGCTCTGGGGCCTTCTCCCCCAGCCTTCCTCCGTGGACCGCCAACAGTGTCATTACCGTTGCCATAGACTTAGCTGTTAATGTGTTGCTTTATTTTTTGCCATGACAATGGCAGTGGTCACCATCGAAACCTCTATTCCATGCTGGTCCATGGTTATGTCACAAGAGGAAGAAAAGACTATGTATAACACAACATCCAAAATGGTTACCTCCAAACAGGGAGATAAAAAAATGCCCAAATAAATGGTAAACTGTGTTTACAGAATGTGTTAAAAAAAAAAGGAAAACTTCAGCTGCAGAAATGATTATTGAAAGGATAAGATTTATTTCAGCAGGAAAGGTAAAGGCAGTATATTTGGGGTTGCAGCTGTAAGAAGATGCATTGGAAATAGCAGCAGAGTAAGTAGACTGAAATCTTTGAAAGCCAGTTCCATGCGTTTAGACACTCTGTTATAGGAGACAGGGAGAAGAGCTTTCTGAAGAAAAAGGGACTCACGGTTGGACACTGTATAAGTGTGGGCTGCCAGGTATGTAAAGCAGATCAGGAAGAATGATAGTCCTGGTTTCCTTTGGGATCACTGGGCCCCTTTAAAGGAACATTAAGAAAAAAAAAAATGGAAGTCAGGTGGTGACGGTGACACACACCTTTAATCACAGCACTCAGGAGACAGAGGCAGACCTAGTTTACTGAGTGGATTCCAGGATAGCCAGGGCTCTGCAGAGAAACACTGTCTCAATAACAACAAAAAAAGACACCAGACATTAACCTCCGGCTTACACACCCATACACACACACACACACACACACCAGCAAAAAGTAGGATTAAATCTGTTAAATGGAACGACAGAAAGCTGGTGATGACACAGCTGTGACTCCGGAGGGGCTTGTGTGCAGGTCTGGATTCAGCCTGAGAGGCAGTGAAGGGTTGTAGTCGGCAGGTCTCAAAGCGGCTAAGCCCCTTTGTAGTGCAGGGAACAGGCGGAGAGGATGGGAACTGCATAGAGTCATGCAGACAAGCCCTGGCAAGAGGTAATGAGAACCCGCACCGCACCTGGTGAGTCAGGGAGCAGAGTCGGCAAGGCAAAAGGGACCCGGAGTCTGCGTGCTCGGTAGGCCAGGGAATGATTGTCCTCACCCTCACACAGGCGAGAGAGACCTCAGAACGCTCGGGTGACAGGCTACCTTGTGAAGTTTGGGTATATTAAATCCTGTTATGAAATCATACGTTCAGATTTTTGGCTCTAAACATGCTTTCCTGAGTAAGGCATATAGAAAGTCAGCTTGTTTTCAGAAGGTCCATTTTTTGTAGGTGAATGCCTTGATCACTTACCTTGATTCACATAGTTCATTAGGGTATTGGAGTTCGGAGGGGGGGGGGGCAGCTCTATTCTTACCCTATTTAAAAAAAATTTTTTTTCTTAAAGAACAGCCTTAAATTGGGATTGGTGGCACATGACAACAACCTCAGCCCTCGGATGCTGAAATACGTCTGTCAGAAAAAAATCAAGGCCAGCAGCCGGAGCTACATGGCAAAACTGCTTCAAAAAATCAAATCCAAAAAAGGCAGGTGGTGGGGGCACACACCTTTAATCCCAACAGAGGCTGACGGACTTCTGAGTTCAAAGCCAGTGTGGTCTACAGAGTGAGTTCCAGGACAGCCAGGGCCACACAGAGAAACCTTGGCTCCAAAAACCAAAACAAAAAAAGAAGGGAGCTGGCTGTCCACACCTGATGGCTGCATCCAGATTCCTTGGTAGGAGAGAGTCAGCACTCTGGAGTTGACCTCTGATGTCTGTGCGTTGTGGTGTGCCTCTCCCCACCACACTGAACTTTTTTTTTTTTTTTTTTTTTTAATTTGAAAGTGGGTCAGAGCACCTTAAAAAGAACAGCAAGGCTTGGCAGGTGTGACTCAGTTGTAGACAAGCCCATTGTGTGCATGAGGCCACAGAGGAATAAGGCAAAGGAAGTTGTCATGAAGTGGAGAAGGTGCCATCCAGCTTCCTCCCCTAGCCTTCCCGCCTCCCCTCCTCACTGGGAAGGGAAAAACTCTATTCAAGGGAACAAACAGCCTTTGAATGCTTTTGGGTTGGCTTTTTGCTTTGTGATAAATGGAACAGAAAAAAAATGAAGTTTTCCTTTTTTAACATTTCCAGTACATTTTAACTATCATGACATCATATGTGATGTCATGGAAAATATGCTTCAATTCCTAAGAGGGAAATACTTAAGAAAATACATTATTGTCTTTAGACATCATGCAGAAATTCAGAAATAACCCAGATCTGGAAACTGTATGCATTGCTTCATTGCATGCAGGCAAGGCAGCCATACAACATAAAATCTTGTTTAAAAAGAAACCTTTTTACTTCTAGAAAAGTAATTTTCAAAAATGGCTATAGTGTTTGAAGACCTATAATCCTAACACTTGGGAGACTGAAGCAGAAATAGCAAGTTTGGCATAATCTGGGAAACACAGCAAGACATTGTTGAAAACTCTAAGATGTTTGCTCTCATAACACCGGATTAAAGCTGAAAGGAACCAGCTCCACTTCAGGAATGATGGCTTGACCACAATATCAACACAGGAGATGTCTTTAGGTCGATGGAAGGCCAACCCGTACTTCATCTGTTACTAACCTGTGAAGAAAAAGACACATACAAAAAGGGCAGCCTCTCAGCATCTCCTAGTGGCTTGTGTCCTTCCACAGCTTCTAGAATATGTGCCAGGAGAGATGCTTATTCTCTTGAAACACTACCTTAGTGAAAAGCTACAGTGTCGGGGCTAGAGAGATGGCTCAGAAGAGAAGAGCACTTCCAGGGGACCTGAGTTCAATTCCGGGCAACCACATGGTGGCTCACAACCATCTATACTAAGGATCTGATGCCCTCTTCTGGTACACAGGTGTACATGCAGACAGACATTGCATAAATAAATCAAGAGAGAGGAGGGAGGGGGGCTACAGTGTCTGCAGTGGGGGGAAAAGAGACAAGATAAATAAAACTACTATTTTTGCAAGAGCTAAGAGGTGATGATGGAATGCTTGCCTGGTGTGTGTGAGGCCCTGGGCTCACCATCCCCTGACCACAGAGGAGAAGTAAAAAGACTGTACGTCTGCCTTCTTAACTCTTACTGGTCTTAGTTGTGTTTGAAAACTCTACGGTGAGGACTGGTCCTCCCTCCAGGCAGTTGTACCAGACCACTAGGTTTAATAGCTTCAGCCTGAACTTCCC